TTAGTATAAACCTGTTTTATTTTCCCTTCTAAACACAAGGCAGGGTTGGATGTCTCCCTAAGTTGGGTAGGTCTGACTATCTGCCTAATAAGAGAGAAACACATATRGTTTGTGTAAGTATCAATGGTTGTTCTCATATGATTGTCGTTACRGAGGCTAAGCGCACCCTTAAGTTAGGGCGGCTTAGTCACACGTCGTTGTACCTTGTTCAGGCAGATTCTGTCTTATGTAACTATAATTGTTTAAGCCAGCCAGGCGTACTCTTAAGTCAGGGCGGCCTGGTGATAGGCTCCTGTCGTTGATGTGATGTAGGTTGGACGTACCCTTAAGTTAGGGCGGTCTGACCATTCGTCGTTTGCGCTTGTTCTGTAGGTTGGACGTACCCTTAAGTTAGGGCCGTCTGACCATTCGTCGTTCGTGCTTGTTCTAGGCAGGTTAGGCACACCCCTAAGTTGGGGCAGTCTAATCCTATGCCCTATGTAACTTGTCGTAAAGCTGGCTAGGCATACCCTTGAGTTAGGGCAGTCTAGCTCTACGCCTCATGTCGTCGGTTCAAGCAGAAGCCAGGCGTACCCTTAAGTTAGGGCGGTCTAGTCATATGCTTTATGTCTAGAGTTTACTTGGAGTTGGGCATACCCTTAAGTTAGGGCAGTCCAATTGTGCGTACTCTTACTTGTTTATTTAGGCAGGTTGGACATACCCTTAAGTTAGGACCTTGTCTGATCCTATGCCATAAGTGAGGGGGTTATTGAAAGGGAACAACTGAGTGATCTAACGAACTACCTGGGCAAATGTATGTGGGATTGTGAGAGATGCATGCTCATGTATGATTGTAGGGTCTCACTTGGGGTGTCTTTTCGATAGGCTAGTTGCTTTAGATGCTCGCCAAGTGCTGGAGCCATAGGTAGGTCAGATGGATGTTGGGAGGGAAAACTTGGGATGAGGATGGGACTGACCCTGCTATGAGTTAGGCCCAATGCTAGCCCACGGTCTCATCTAACGATCGTATTGGCTGTCTTTTGTGTCTGAATCGTCAAGCAGATGTCAGACGTTAGTCCCAAGTATAGTTGCATTGTCTTTCTGCTTTTTCAACTTCGTATAAATCTTGGCAGCCTCCTGTTCCTACGGGAAGCGCTGCCGAAATTTTTACAAATCTGAAAAAGTTAGTCATTTTTGGGCTCTTAGAAATTATGAAACGACACTTTTCCTACGGGAAGCGCTACCGAAATTTCATGAAGTTTGGGGAGTTATAATATTTTTCAGTTAGGAGTTGCTTAACAGATCCTCACTGATTAGAGGAGGTGTTCAACTAATTGGTACTAGTAGAGGAGCTAGAGTACGACTAAGGGGAATGATCTCCCCTTGGCACAGACGTAAGTAGTACTCTTCGTTGGCCTGTACTGTGATGCAGGTTGCTGTGCTATCACTTGAGCGCCTGATCTGATCAGGCTATTCCTTCAGAGAGGTTATTCCTCTGTTATCGCTGACAACAGGTCGGTTGCCGATCCGTCGGTCTACGACTGAACCCCAATACACCCTCGAGACTCAACCTAAAAGGCTTCAGCCCTGGTGATTTTATCTGTTTTGTTAAGGTTTCACCCAAACTTTCATTGAATGGCCATTTAACAGAAGTACTGAGTACTTAATTATGGTTGGTTGGCTGGAGGTTGGGGCTTGCATGGCTAAAGCACAGGGTATGAGTGGAGAGGATGGTTGGAGTTGACCCCGTGTAGCATGTGGATCTTTGTTTGATATCGTGGTGTGATTGCAGGTATGTATGGAAGAGTCTCGATTGATTCATGTTGAGTGGTATTGCATGGATTCAGATGGGCAGACCACACAACTGTCGTGAGAGTGAACTACCCCACAACCTTTGTGTTTGAGTGAGATTGTGCTATCCCCGTTCTGCTGAGGTGATAATCCAAGTAAGCGTTCGGGTAACCCCTACAGGGCTAATCCCGACGATGCCCTCTCTGATAATATTGAGAGTATTTGTATCCTTTCCTTGTTAGTGTTTATTTCGGTGGAACGATAAAGTTCCGGGTGGGAGGGTTAGCGTGTCACCGGTGATGCGCCAGACAACTCCCCACCGCTCCAAATTCCTTTCTGCCCTAGGGGCCGTCTTACCCCGCACCCTTTGGGACAACCCTCGAAGTTATCAAGGGCCGCAAGGCTACGAGTACACCAGAGTACCCCATCAACGAGAATGCTTGCGAATGCTCACATGGCTGGTTGTCATGAGGAGGCCATGCGGTCGCCCGACTCTTATACGGAAACTCCGCGTGCGACGCCTATCTGGTTCTGTTGTGTAAAAGTATGGGTCGGATACTGAAGGGACTAGGAGTTGTGGTGTTGTGGCGTTGTTTGTGGCGGTCGTTCTGTGTGTGTTTCTGTATGTTATGAGTGGGTGAGTATGAGTGTCGTGGTGTAGCGCGTGGTGAGAGTAGTGCGTCCTAGTCGACCGGCGTCGACTCGTGTCTGGGACTTCAGCCCCTCAATACGTCGACTCGCGTACGGGCTCGATTTCGAGCGTTCGACCGCGCGTATCCCCTATGCTACAGCGAACGAGAAACGCCCTCCGCTGGGCCACCTCTGCAATTGCGTATGAAAAGTTTTCGCATGTGGTTCAATAGCTCGGCAGGGATACGCCCACCTAAGGGATGGTGACAGCTCCCGCAGGTGGATGTAGCGGTGCCTCGCGTGACTCTGTCTTGTCGTAGGGACTCGCGAGAGGTACGGCTGGCGCACTCGGCCGGAGCGGCAAACGCTCTCCGCAACAAGTCCTGCATAATCCTGCGCGACGCGGCCGGGAGGGTCCCCGTGCGGGACCGATGCGCTCGACAGGTGGCGCCGTTGCCGGGGATCTCCGCTGCCTACCGGGATCCTCAAGAGAACGAACCCAGGTTAAGTGCACGCTGATGATCTAGGCAAAACAACAAAAAGTTATAGGTTGGATTGTCCTATATAAGTTGGTTGTATATGAGATCATAATAAGACTAAGCGATATATAGTGCGACGAAAGGTTGTATCTTGGGTGTGAATGGCTAATGGTAGAGCGGTTAGTTGAACTTAGAAGTAGAGTGGGCAGAAATGATGTAGGGTGAGCCCTCTGAAACTTGACGGACTGCTTACCGGTCTACCCCTTGTTACTCCTGTCAGGTTGGTTAGCAAAAAGGGGTGAAGATACCAGGCAACGATGGAATCGAGCGGGGCCCGGCCGCTACGCCGGAGGACTTCGTCAAGGCACTCGAGAAAAGGGAGTTGGCACGGCTACAAGTGCCAAAGATTGACATCTTCCACTTCGAAGGGGAGAGGGTGTCAAAATGGCTGGAGCTCCTGGAACAGATTACGGCCGAGGTGCCAGAAGCGGATAAATTCAAGTACCTACCTCGATACATCTGGTGGGAAATCCGGCCTGAGATAATGAAAGTAGCTGCCGGAGCAGGAGGAGAAGGGGCGAAGTTCAAGGCGGAAACGCAAAGGCGATTCAAGTTAGGGGATGGCTTGCTGACAAAGACGGACTTGGAAATGCTACAACGTGATGAGTTCTCCACGGTAGGAGCCTTTGCCACGACGTTTGAGAAAATGGCCAAGAAAGTCCCAGGGTTGGCAGAAGAGGAACAGTGTGCCACTTTCTTGAGGCACTTCAAGAACTGGGAGGTCTCGTCGCTAACTAAGAAGGCTGCGCCAGGAAAGAAGCTCACTTGGGCTGCCATAAAGGAAGGCGTAATGGACGGAGAACTGGACCAGGTAGACATCTTCCAGATGAGACAGGCTAGGAAGAAAAGGAAGACCTTAGACGCTACGACGAGTGATGGGCGCGACTTCAAGAAAATGGTGGAGGATGCGGTGGCCCAACTCGATGCAGCGAAGGAGGCAAGGAGAAAAACTATGGCGGCACCGCAGACCCAAGGTAAAGCAAAGAAAGCGGTGGTGCAGGAGAAAGAAGAAGAGGAAGAGGAAGAGGAGCCGGAGCCGCAAAAGTTGACAAAGGCTCAAAGGAAAGCAAGGAATTTGGCTCAAGGGGGGCAAGGCTCGGAGAGGGGCCAGATCCCACAAGCTGTAGCCATGCCGCCCCCTGAGTCGCCTAGTCAGGCCGCACTAGTACACTATGGGTCGTGGCCAAGTTGCGGACACCCGAGTCATTGGCATGGGCACTGTTCATACGCCCCGTGGCCGAGGAGCGGGCCGCATGGGTCGTGTGCCGAACCCTCAGTGAGTGCGGCTTCCTGTGGCTGCCCGGGACCCCAAGTGCAGCAAGTGAGCCGCCCGAACCCTCCGCCAAACCAACCCCAGCAGTCAGCCCCACAAGGTTCGCAAGGCAATCAAGGGGGTGGACGTGGACAAAACCAAGGATGGGGCCGAGGGCGGGGGAATGGTGGCCGAGGAGGAAACGGTAGAGGGAATGGTGGTGGTAACGCTTCACGTGGCGGAAACGAGGGCTGGACGGCATCCGGGAGTCAAGGCGGTCAAGAGGGTGGAAGAGGTGCTGGCAGAGGGAGAGTAGACTGGAGAAATGCCATTTGCTGGCATTGTGGGCAGAAAGGCCACACTATTAAGTTCTACCACGTCAGGAGGAACGACGAGGACGAAGGTTTAATTAGCACCAACTATGATGGAGACATGTACGACAAGTGGGGGTACCACCTTGACCCGAAGATTCCAGGCGGTACGAGGAAGGAAGCCCTGCGAAGAGCTGAGGCCGGTGAGCCACCCGCACCTCCAGCCATGTTTCGGATATGGCTGGAGAAAGAGGTCCGTAGTAACGTCAGGGTGGAGGAGGTAGGAGAGAATGCAGAGGTGGAGCAAGAAAAGAAGGCGGGCACCACTAAGATAGAACCGATCATAGTGGAGTCCGACAATGAGATTGAGGAAGATTGCTGGAACAGGTCGCTGCATGCTGAGACAGAGGGAGATTATTGGAGAACGGCCCGACAGACAATGGAGAGAATGGAGGACCTGATTGACAAAGTCGGGAGATCCAACAGAAGCTGGCTGATATGTGCGAAGAAGTCAAGGGGTGGCAAGGTAAGGAGCCATCAGTATACCTCTACGACTTAGGTCCAGGGTCGCAAGGAGGGTCCGGGAATCTACCAAACGTCACGACCTCAGGAGCGACGCCTCGATCCGGAATGACCTTTAGACCACCCTCCAGGACGGGGAGGGCGCCTCATGCCGTTAGGACAAGGGCTAAACGGCCAGTGAGTCCCGAAGAACCAGCCAAGGATGTTCCTGAACCCAGTGGAGAGAAAGAGGTAGTGGACGTTCCAGAAGGAGAGGATGATGAGGATGACAGGTTGAGGAAAGAGGATGAGAAGGCTGAACAGCGAGCCAAAAAGAGACGTGCCAAGCCGGACACAGACAAGGCACAGGAAGTAAAGAAGAAAAGGTATGTGGTCCTCGTAGAGGAAGGGTTCGACGTAGAAGAGATAATGGACAGGATTCTCGAAGGTCATAACCACCTTATGAACCTGAAGGACGTACTAGCCTCAGCGCCTAGGCTCAGGGATGAGCTAAGGGCGCGACTATCCAGGAAGATGGTAGCCAGCATACGATTGGGGACTATAATCCCTAAGGAGACTGAGTGGGAGAAGAGAATTCGAGACCTCGAAGCCAAGTATGCCCAGCAAGCCCCCACTAGAGTGCTAGATTGGACAGAGGTCCAAAGGTTCGAAGTCAGGGAACAGCCTGCAGAGGAGGTCTTCAAGAAGGAAAAGGAAGTAGAGATGGCGGACCAGCTGGAGGGTGAGGAGGTCCCTCTGATCGACAAGGAAATGTTGGAGCAGCCAGAAGTGCTAGCGGGAAAAGGTGTAGGAATCAGAGAGTTTGAGTGGAGGTTACCCGCTGGCCTAACACTGGGGCACGAGCCGGCGGTACTACAGGAGGGACCACCAGCGGAGGTGGTGGGGGTGGACGCAGTTTTGCCTCCAACACAGGGAGAGACTATGGGACGGCCAGAGGGTCAGGAGAGCGTGGGCCAAACCATGGTTGGGACTGAGCAGGGAGTGGACCTGAGGGACTGTCAGGAGTCAACCATGCTTCAGGAGGTGCCAGTTGCTACAGATTTGCGTGATGTACTGGGATCTTGGGCCACTGGGTCAGGGTCAGACGGGCGTATTGGGGAGCCGGGGATGCCAGCAGATGACAGAGCAGCCTGCCCCGCTTCCTCAGGGGTCCCACAGTAGGAGGTTACGAGCAAGATCTCAACAACCCCGTCATCTGTACCCTCGCTGGAAGGAGAGAAGATGCCCCAAAAAAAACTTGGCAAGTGCTTTTATTGCAAGAGGGGCAAACATCGATCAGACGACTGCCCCAAGAGCCTCAAGGACGAGGCGAATGGACTGTGTACCAAGGAATCGTCTGGGGTTTGGAGAGATAGAAATGGAAACCTAGTTCCTAAGACTCGTGATGGGGTGAGGGCGCAGTTGTATAGGCAGCTACAGGAGGCCATGAGCGATCAGGACTAGGATTTTCTAATAAGGTCCGGAAAGGTCTAAAGTCTAAACATATGCGGGACTGATGGTTACTTGTATATAGGAGGATACATGGAGGATTGGATCAAACCCACGTGCATCAGTAAGCTGAGCCAATAGTAAGATGTTACGTCCGCATTTTAGATTTGAAAACTTTCCTGTACATAAGATAACGCTGAGTATGACGTTGACGATTTTTTCTTTTTTTCGCTAATGCGATGTAGAGTGTTAACGTTCTTATAGAATAACGCTCATGAGTGTGGAGCGGCCGTCGAGTTTCGATACTTCGACGCTYGACTACCTTGATTCTCTAYGGGATACYTGAACTCCTTGTATAATATTTKAAGTTYTATAATAAGGACGGGAGCCTTTGCACAKTGCGGGGSCCCATGTCTTGGGTGTACACGCGAGTCTCAAACCTTGTCTTTATGTTGTGTGTGTCGTATCACTCTCACTCTCAGTTTGTGGATTTGCCCATATGGATGATGGTGTGATGAGATGAATACTATGGAACGAACTGATCTGCGTTTCTTCCACTGTACTTACGCCTCCCTGTCCCCATGACAAGTGTAGTCGGGAGTATAATGGAAGGAAGTGTTTTCAGATTATGGAGACAATGATGACATGATGTATTTTGCCAAGATAATGATGGATGGAATGGTCACAACTAAAAGTTGTGTTTTTTTGTATGATTGGGAAAGAGAGAGGGAAGTCCAATGGTCGATTGGGCTTTCTTAAAAGGATGAAAATTGGGAGAACACTCAAAAGAGTCGCTATAAGTGGTGATAATGTTTGTATGTATGTATGTAAAAGTCTGACGAGGAAAGACCAGATATTTTGTGAGACTCATGGATGAAAATCTCTGGCAGTTATGTTGTAAGTTTGAAAGGTATTGTCAGTACCCCTAAAAGGCGTGTGACCTTACCTGCTTTTGATCAGAGCAAGGGAGGCATGACCCTGTGGAACTATTGAGAATCTTTGGTGGACTACTAAGAAAGGCGCTACCCTCATGATGTTCCACTGCCAGGGTTTCAACCTGGGTCTCCCACGCCCTGGCCTTGGAGCTAGGGGATACTTTGTTTTGTACTACAGTGTAGTACCCGCTCCCAGGTAGTAGGCCGATAGTCCTCTCCCTTCGTCGTAGACATCTACCAGTTCACCGTTGGGTGTCCTGTTTAGTCATCGTCCCGCGAAAGGGGTCATAACTTAGGACGCGGGCCCTAACCGAGACCTCTCAAAACACAGGCCGCTTTCAGCCGCCCACATGGTAGTGCCTACCATCTCCACTCACAACGAACGCCCAGCCTGGAGTCTAACACAGAATGCTTCTGGTCTCCATCCTGGCCCACCATGGACCGGTTGATCATGCCGAATCCACGGCCCACCACGTTGTTATGTAGCGATGGTGCTCTCGTTGGTTACGCAACGATAAGCAACTCTCCCTATCTTGGCACCCCGAAGGGCCCTGACTTTTGACCTAATCGACCCCAATGACCTTCCCTCCGGCTAAACCTCTCCGGGTGGCCGACCCTTCAAGACTTAACCTTTGGTAAGCCATGGTCCCGCTGCCAGGTTGCACCGGCCAGCGGCCCTCGCTGGGAGTTAGGTTCTACAGTTCCAGGCTAAGTATAGCCCCTTAGTTTGGCCTCACAATACGTCCCTTAGACTAACCCATCGTGGTCTGGCACTTTCTTTTATAACAATAATCAAAGGATCACATACCATCGCCCACGGGACTATGGGAGTAGGCTGATAAGACAACCTCGAACGGAGTCGAGCCAGTGAGCCGGATTGGTCATTTCTTTGTCAGCAAGATGTGTTTTTTGTGCAATGCGTTGATTGTCCGACGCGACGGGGACGTCGCTTAATAAGGTCCGGAAAACTGTCGGCCCGAATACCCTTACAAGGGTATTTGGGCACATTTTTGCAGCTTACAGGAAGAGCGCACCTGGCGATATCTGCGGGCGCAACCCATCTGTGTTGATTAGAGGGTATGTGAGCGTGCACTTTGTAGGCGCGCGTTAGCTTGACCGAGTCTGGGTCGAGGGGGGCCGTGCGACACCGGTAGGACAAGTGAGTGTTACACTAGAGTTTCTGAGGCGGTCGCAGACTCACACGCACGGTCGGAATGCAGGACGGCGTGAAGATTGACCAGGWARGGCGGTGACTGAGAGGAAAGCRTTGTCCAACTTACTGGGAACCGACGGTTYAGGGCCGCGCYGCGTAAAAATTCGCAGGCTTTTGGTTGACCATGCGCTACCGACARTAGAGGCCGTGGCGGGCCTTAGCCAGGAGGGCGCGGGTCGGAGGCACAGGGAGTAGAAATCGGGGCGGCTTCGGCCCAAAGGTGGTAGAAMGGGCAATTCCTTGATGAATGTGAGGGAGTGGGAGAGACCGGCCATAGCCGCAGCATGATGCGGCAACGCGCACGGCGAGCCTGGCAAGGTCGTGTCCTCCAAGGTAATACATGGGTGCCCGTGGGTCCTTGGACGCAAGCGGTAAGGTAGAGAAATGGCCTGAAGTACTGTTTGCAGGCCTGAAGGGGCTGCCCTTACTCTTTATGAGTAGGACTGCACCTGCTACCTCCAAGCTGGGGCTTAGCCCTATAGGTTATAGCACTGACCTTTCACCGGGCGGATCCTGGGATCGAG